TCCTCGTTTCAAGTTTTAATCAAAGCTTGTATATAAGGTTACTTTATTCCCGCATCTTCTGAATTGTTTCTTCCTTGTATTTGCCCTTTTCCTTTCCTACTTGGCGAGATTTGGCTTTCCGTTCAAGGATCTTTTTGCGGTCTTTGTCCAGTTTTAGCCTAGTGATAACCACCTTGCTGGGTGAATGCCTACATGGACAGTCATGCCATTAGCCTTTTCCCGCTGCACCCGTTCAATGTAGATTACGTATTTCTTCCTGTAAACCTGGACTACTTTGCCAATCTGCTGACCTTTCTAGTGTCCTCGTACAGCCTGAACTTCATCATCCTTTCGGATGGGCATGGATCACACGTTGTACTTCTGTCTCAGCTCTTTGGAAAGAGGGGAGGACATAATCTTCCCGCGAATGTGGGAAGGTGCACTGAAATGCCTTTTGCGATTCTTGCTTCGGTCGGAAGTCACAAAGGGATTGAACTTCATTTTGGCAGCTCCCGCTTAGGTGATGGCCGCAAAAGGGAAGAGCTCTTTCCTTTTTCTTTGAGACATAGTTTCGCTCTTGTTACCCAGGCTGGAGTGCAATGGCACGATCTCGGCTCACCGCAACCTCTGCCTCCTGGGTTCAAGCAATTCTCCTGCCTTAGCCTCCCGAGTAGCTGGGACTACAGGCCACGCCACCATGCCCAGGTAATTTTTTTGTATTTTTAGTAGAGACGAGGTTTCACCATGTTGACCAGGATGTTCTCGATCTCGACCTCGTGATCCACCCGCCTCGGCCTCCCAAAGTGCTGGGATTATAGGCGTGAGCCACTGTGCCCGGCCTTGAACTAATTTTTTCTTTGTAAATCATACATCTGAAAAGAGGTTAATATCCAGAGTATGTTTTATTAAACTTCTATAACTGAACAACAAAAATCAAAGACCTCAATTCAAAAACTGGCAAATGACTTGAATAGACTTTTTTTTTTTTTTTTTCAAGACAGTTTCAGTCTTGTCGCCCAGGCTGAAGTGCAATGGCAAAATCTTGGCTCACTGCAATCTCCATCTCCCAGGTTCGAGTGATTCTCCTGCCTCAGCTTCCCGAGTAGCTGGGATTACAGGTGCCCACCACCATGCCCAGCTAATTTTTTTAAATTTTAAGTAGAGACAGGGTTTCACCATGTTGGCCAGGCTGGTCTCAAACTCCTGAACTCAGGTCATCTGCCCGCCTCGGCCTCCTTAAGTGCTGGGATTACAAAAGTGAGCCAATGCACCCAGCCGTGAATAGACATTTCTCTAAAGAAGACATGCAAATAGCCAATAGCATATGAAAAGATGCTCAACATCAGTAATCTTTAGGGAAAGGCAAATCAAAACAATGAGATACCACTTGACATCCCTTGGGATGACTACCATTAAAAACACAGAAAATAAAAACTGTTGTTGAGGATGTAGAGAAGCCAGAACCCTCTGCACTGCTGTTGAGAATCTAAAATGCTGCAGCTGTTATGAATGCCAGTTCCTCAAAAACATTGAACATCAAATTAAAAAATAAAACTTAAACTTCATTTAAAAATTAAACTTAAAGTTAGGACAGTTCCTCAAAAAATTAAACAGAATTAGCCTATGGTTCAGCAATTCCACTTCTGGGTATACACTGGAAGAATTGGAAGCAGGGTCTTAAAGAAACAGTTTGTCACCGGGCGCAGTGGCTCACGCCTGTAATCCCAGCACTTTGGAAGGCCAAGGCGGGTGGATCACGAGGTCAAGAGATAGAGACCATCCCGGTCAACATGGTGAAACCCTGTCTCTACTAAAAATACAAAACATTAGCTGGGCATGGTGGCGCGTGCCTGTAATCCCAGCTACTCAGGAGGCTGANGGTTACCCATAAAGAAAAGCCCATCAGACTCACAGCAGATCTCTCAGCAGAAACCCTACAAGCCAGAAGAGAGTGGGGGCCAATATTCAACATTGTTAAAGAAAAGAATCCCAGCTACTCAGGAGGCTGAGGCAGGAGAATTGCCTGAACCAAGGAGGCGGAGGTTGCGGTGAGCCGAGATCGCGCCACTGCACTCCAGCCTGGGTAACATGAGTGAAACTCCGTCTCAAAAAAAAAAAAAAAAAAAAAAAAAAAAAGAAAAAAAAGAAAAAAAAAAAAAAAAAAAAAAAAAAAAAAGATACAGTTTGTCTGCCTAGAAGCTTCATTCACAAAGCCCAGAGGTGGAATCAACCCAAGCGTCCATGTGTAGATAAATGGATAAATAAAATGTGGTATAAACATACAGTGGGATAGTATTCACCCTTGAAAAGGAATGAAATTCTGATACATTACATGGATGAACTTTAAAGACATGATGTTAAGTGAAAGAAGGCACCTGTGGGGCCCCACTCCCGTGAGGTGCCTCGAGAGGCCCCGAGAGGCCAGAGTCCTGGGGACAGGAAGTAGAATGGTGGGGACTGCAGGGAGGGGAGTGGGGAGTTCGTGTTGAATGGGACAGAGCGTCAGTTTGGAAAGATGAAAAAGTCCTGGAGGCAGATGGCGGTGATGGTGCACAACAACGTGAATGTACTTCTTGCCACTGAACTGTACACTTAAAACTGGTTAAAATGACAAATTTATGTTATGTATATTTTACCACAATTTAAAAAATACCGGAAAAAAAGTAATGCGCCCCTCCCCAATGTAGCCAGAAGTGTAGAGGATGAGACTGAGAATTTTATAGGGACGCTGGAAGGAGTGGGCAAGGCAGGAAGCCTGAGGGGGCCGCAGAGGAGGCGCCCAGTGTGGGGTGCGGAGGTGTCACAGAGGGTGAGACACTGGGTGGGACCGAAACATACTAGGCAGGTGGGTGAGGACCAAGGTGGCCTCGCCCTGGGGGGCTTCAGGGCAGAGAAAGGGGCTTTGGAGAGCTGTGATGCTGGAATGCACTGCCCACCATCTAGGCTGTTCCTCAGACGTCCAGGGACCACACCTCCCACACCACGTCACCTCATAATGCACATTGTCATTTTGCAGATGAGGAGCCTGAAGCCAACGAAAACCCACCTTGTGTGGGGAGCGTGGGGTGGGCAGGCCTGCCGGCCACCTGCCCCTCTGCGTCCTACTGCTGGCCGTAACCATGACCCCACCTGCCTGGTCCCACACCGCTCCCAAGGGAGCGCAGAAGATGGATGCTGTTCCGCCTGCACGTGGGACGGGGCTGCCACAGTCATGAGCTGGGTGGGCCTACGGAGGAGGAAGTCCTGGTGACAGGCTGTAGTGCTGTGAGCAGAGGTGGGACGCTGGGCAGACTGTGGGCACTCAGTGGGGCAAGTGCCCTGAGGCCTCACAGCTGCCTCAACGCTCCTTCTCCTTACAGGTGAGGAGCTGGCATCACCCAGTGGCACAGTGACCTGCAGGCAGGGTCAAGGCAGGACTGGGCCTCCGCGGACGGGCTCTGGTGACCACTGCCCACACGGCCTGTCTCCACAGGCTCAAGGTGCCGCGGGGCTGTGCTCCCTCAGGCCCTGGTCCCGGACAGGCAGCGCCTTTCTCTTCTCATTGCTTTCTCACCACCAGATGGGTTTTTGCTCTTCCCCTCTTCTCCACGAATAAGTTGCTCTGAGCTTGCCACGAGGTGGCAGCGTTAAACTGTTTGATAGGGTCCTAATCAGCTTGTAGGCCCAGGACCTAAAATCACAGCCCCAAACCCTGGACTGGTACCTTCTCTTCCCTCCATTGGCAGCCTCAGTGTACTTCTGGCTCCTGCATCCCCCTTCAAGCCATCCACACCACCCCAGGCCCGCAAGAGCGTCCTGTTTCTCCTCCTCTTGTGGAGAAGGAAAGTTCACTCTTTCCAGGATTGCCTTTAGCACTTAGCGGGGATGTTTGAGCCCCCTCTATTCCTCTGTGGGTCCCTGATGTGCCAGCCACCTTTCTCACTGTATTCATCAGGGTTCTCCAGAGGGACAGAACTAATAGGATAGACAGATCGATGGACTGATAGATGATATATACATACACACAAAAGGGTGGTTATGAAGGAGAAATTGACTCATGATCATTAGGTGAAGTCCCCACAATAGGCCATCTATAAGCTGAGGAGAAAGGAAGCCAGGAGTGGCTGTGTCCAAGTTCAGAAACCTGGAAAGTGGGAAAGCCAACAGTGCAGCCTTAAGTCTGTGGCCAAAGGCCCAAGAACTGCTGGCATAAGTCCAGTCCAAAAGCGGAAGACCTAGGAGTCTGACGTTCGAGAGCAATGAAGCGCTCAGCACGAAGAAAGATGAAGACCGGGAGACTTAGCAAGTGAGCTGTTTCTAGCCACCGCTGACAGCTGATTGAATGGTGCTCACCCACACTCTATATGGGTCTTCCTCTCCCAGTCCACCTACTCAGATGTTAATCTCTGCTGGCAACACCCAGAAACAATACTTTGCATCCTTCGATCTAATCAAGTTCTCTACTGGCACCTTGGGGCAGAGGCCATGTCTCACTAGTGTTGATGACAGCCTGGGCAGTGGGGGAGGTTGCTCCCTGAGGGCTCTGCAACTGCCTTCTCCTCCCTAGCCATGGTGGCGGGGCTGACGGAAAGCACTCACTGCCCTCCATTCCAGAGAGATGCTGTGCAGGATCACGAAGAACAGAGGGGCAGGCTGAGGGGGCAGGCTGACAGTGCCACCCCACACTGAGCACCCTTGTGCAGAGCCTCCCCTCTGAGGCCGAGGTTGCTGTCCTATGGTCCCTTGATGCCTTCAGATCATCTACAGGTGTGCAGGCTATGTTCCCCTCTATGTTGAGAGTGAGGGGTGCCACTACCCTGCCTGCATGTTGTCTGAGAGAGGAAAGTGCTCTTACTCTTTGGAGGTAGTTCCAGAGGACTTGGTCGCTGATGTTGGAGGCAAAGAATCCGTTCCCGGTCTCAGCTATATTTGAAGAAGCCCTCAGTGCCTGACTGGACAGAGCAGGTTCCAGAAAGTGGCAGGCGAAGACACTGGGAGAAGTGGGGCCGTCCACTCCTGCTGGCATCCGATGTGCTGGTGCTGCAGGGATGGTGATGACAGATGGCTGTCCTACCATGTGTCCAGGCAGGGAATACAGCTCCTTATGCTACCTACAGCACAACGCATCTAGAGCCAACCAGGAACCCACCTCCTCCTCAGTGCAGAGGGTCCATCTCCAAAATGGTGCCTGAATGAACTTAGCAAATCTCACAGCACTTGACAGGAGACTGGCCCACCCTGGAGGGCCCCGGATCCTCCGGGTGTCCCCTGGTCACTCCGGCAGGGCCTTCTCACACACTGCTGGGGAGCATGGGGTGGATGCTGTGGGGGGATGAGGAGGCACCTCTTGCACAGCTGACCTGATGATTCCTCCTGCTGGGGGAACATCCTAGGTGGACATTCAGACTCCACCTAGCAACCTTGTCACTGCCCTGCTCGTAAGACTGGAAAAAGCAGAGACGTCCATCGGGAAGCAGCAGGGAAATAAGTGGTGAGGAAGCTGGAGAAGGGCATGCTGTAGAGCATTTTCATAGAATGAACTAGGTCTGTGAATGGCAAGAGAGCTGGCCTGGAAGGTGGGCTATTGAGTGGAAAATGCCAGCAGTAGAATGAAGAAACCGCACCAAACGTAGAACCAATGCTAGATGCAGTTCAGGGACCCTGTATTTGCAGCAAAACTTCAAAAACCTGGGCAGGAGGAATATACGGTAAGTTCAGGGTAGACGCTGCCTCCGCGCGGGGAGGGAGAGAATAGACCAGGAGGAATAGACGGTATTAGTTCAGGGTGGACGCTGCCTCCGCGCACGGAGGGAGAGAACAGACCAGGAGTAATATACAGTAAGTTCAGGGTGGACGCTGCCTCCGTGCGGGGAGGGAGAGAATAGACCAGGAGGAATAGACGGTATTAGTTCAGGGTGGACGCTGCCTCCGCGCGGGGAGGGAGAGAATAGGCCAGAGGATGGTGACAAAGGGGACGGTAACTGTATGTGAGAGGTTTTGCTATGCTAAAAAATGTATATGATAAGCAATATGTATTTACATGTAAATATAGTTATATCTAGTTATATGTAACATAAAACGTTATATAAAAATAACTGGAAGCAGGCCGGACGTAGTGGCTCATACCTGTAATCCCAGAACTTTGGGAGGCCGAGGTGGGTGGATCACTTGAGGTCAGGCGTTCAAGAACAGCCTGGCCAATATGGTGAAACCCTGTTTCTACTAAAAATACAAAAATTAGCCAGGGGTGGTGGCACACACCTGTAATATCAGCTACTCAGGAGATTGAGGCAGGAGAATCGCTTGAACCCGGGAGGTGGAGGTTGCAGTGAGCCGAGATGGCACCACAGCACTCCAGCCTGAGCAACAGAGCAAAACTCCATCTCAAATAATAATAATTGGAAGCAAATAGGGGAAAAAAAACGAACATTTGCTAATCCTGGATAGTGGGTCCATGAGTGTCTGCTAATCCTAGCCTACATTTCTCAGTGCATTTCAAATACCTCACCGTGCTAATAAAAGAACAAAGTGATTGCTATAATTGTTGTTTGGTTTTTTTTGGTCTGGAAATGGAGTCTCACTCTGTCACCAGGTTGGAGCTAACTTCGACCTCCTGGGCTCAAGCGATCCTCCCGCCTCAGCCTCCCAAGTAGCTGGTACTACAGGCATGCATCACCAGGCATGGCTATGCTTTTAATTTTTAAATTTTTTTTGGAGAGACAGAGTCTCACTATTGCCAAGGCTGTCCTCAGACTCATGACTTCAAAGTTCTGGACTCAAAGGATCCTCCTGCCTCGGGCTTCCAAAGTGCTGGGATTACAGGCGTGAGCCACCGTGCCCGGCCTTTTCAGTATATTTCAAATAGTTCACAGTGCTAATAAAAGAGTGCTTACAATGCGCTTGCGGTAAATTAATCTTTAAAGATAAATGAACACAACAGGCCAAGACCTGCATGGCAGGAGTGCTCCAGGCAGAGGGGCAGCAAGCATGTGGACTCTAGGCTGGGCACCGGTGGGGTATGCTGAGCAGAGGACAGTGGGTGGGGCAGCCGCTCCTCTGCAGGGAGGGTAGCCACAGGGCTTTGCAGACCAGGACACCAGCTGAGATAGCCTAATTATTATCCAGACTTTGTGGACCTTCAGGAGGGGTGGACATGGGGGTGAGAAGAAAAATACGGTCATCGACTAAAGGCTTTTCAAAGGCTTCACTTGTATGCTAAAATCCAATAAAATAGGCCTGGTGTGGTGGCCCACGCCTGTAATCCCAACACTTTGGGAGGCCAAGACGGACAGATCACCTGAGGTCAGGAGTTCAAGACCAGCCTGACCAACATAGAGAAACCCGGAGTAGTCTCCTGAGTAGCTGGGATTACAGGTGCGTGCCACCACACCTGGCTAATTTTTGTATTTTTAGTAGAAACGGTTTCATCATATTGACCAGGCTGGTCTTGAACACCTGACCTCAAGTGATCCACCTGTCTCGGCCTCCCAAAGTGTTGGGATTACAGGTATGAGCCACCACGCCCGGCCTGCTTCCAATTATTTTTATGTAATGTTTTATGTTACATATAACTAGACATAAATATATTTACATGTAAATACATATTGCTTATTTTTTTGTAAAAATACAAAAAAATTAGCTGGGCATGGTGGCACATGCCTGTAATCCCAGCTACTCAGGAGGCTGAGGCAAGAGAATCACTTGAACCTGGGAGGTGGAGGTTGCAGTGAGCCGAGATCATGCCACTGTACTCCAGCCTGAGCAACAAGAGCAAACTCTGTCTCAAAAAGGAAACAAAACAAAACTGCACCACCCCAGTCCGTGGATAAACAAAATGTCACTCTGCCGTGGAGAGAAGGGCAATAGAGATGCTAGTGTATGTAGGAGGAGCAGGAGGAAGTCCAGTTGCATGCCAGGAAGGACCAAACGCCATTATCATCCTTGCCAGTGCTCCCAGGTACATACAATCATTATATTTATCCTTCCCAGAATTGACTGGGCACATCTCTGAGCCAGCAGCCACCATGTGAAGTGGAACTGGGGCATGGAGCCAAAGAGACCCAGCCCTGCAAGGAGCTGAGCTCAGTGTGGTAGAGGGGTTCTGGCCAGCAACTGAACGAGAGGAGGGGGGATTAGTGGGGGGCTATGGGAGCTATCAGAATTAGTTTATCTTTAGCAGTATATATTATTTAATTTTTTTAAAAATCCTGGTTTAACCAAGAGATGCAGCAACACTCCAATACCCAAAACTCCAACACTTTGATACGGATTGGAAATCTAATTGTAAAGATGTCAATATGCTCAAAATCTCTCAGATCTCCAGGAGTGTTCCAGAAAAGCATCATACCTCTGACATTCCTGATCAATCTAGAACCTGGCTTTGGAGGAGCACTCCTCTTCCCTACCCCTGGTCCATCTCAAGGACACCTCCCTCTGCTTCCAGGACTCTTCCAGCCCATCATCTACCTGGATGTACACTCTAACCTTGCAGATGCTGAGTTTAGTCTTGTTGCTCTGCAGTTTAAGTTGCTTCTCTCCATCTTCCTGTCATAGCCAAGGTGGCCCATGTGAAGTGCCATGGCATAGCCCTGGCCTCTGCTCAAACTGAGTCTTTGGCCTGAGATTTCCTCCTCATCCTCCCCCCCACCCTCCATGTAAATCTGCTAGTCTTAAAGACAAGCTATTTTTTTATCTGGTCTGGCATTTACCTCTCTGTACAATAGGCACTGGGTGTACACTGGTGGGCAGAACAGACACAGCTCCTGCCTTTGTGGAGCTGATCCTGATAGCAAGGGCAGGCATAAACCACACATTAAACATTAAGAAAAATTGTAGTCAAAGGTATAAGAGAAATAAAGGGCAATATATGAGTACAGGCATATCTTAGTGCATACAAGGATATACCATAATAACTGATGATGGTGGCCAAACTAAACAACAGATTTTCCTTGTAGATGAAACAGCCTTCTACTGAAAGAAGATACTGCCAGCCTGGCCAACATGGAGAAATACTTTCTCTACTAAAATACAAGAAAACAGCTGGGTGTGCTGGTGCATGCCTATAGTCCCAGCTACTAGGGAGGCTGAGGTGGGAGAATCACCTGAGCCTGGGAAGTCAAGGCTCCAGTGAGCTGTGATTGCACCACTTCATTCCAACCTGTGTGAAGAGAGTGAGACTCTGTCTCAAAAACAAAAACAAAACAAATCAAAACAAGCAAACAACAACCCCCCGAAAAAAAGAAAAAAGATGCCACCATCTAGGACTTTCATAGCTAGAGAGAAGTCAATGTCTGGCTTCAAAGCTTCAAAACAACAGACTGACTCTCTTTTTAGGAGTTGATGCAACTGGAGACTTTAAAGCCAATGCTTATTTACCATTCTGAAAATCAGAGGACCCTTAAGAATTATGCTAAATCTACTCTGCCTGTGCTCTGTCAATGCAACAACAAAGCCTGGGTGAGAGCACATCTGTTTACAGAGTGGTTTGCTGAATACTTTAAGCCCACTGTTGAGACCTACTGCTCAGGAAACAAAATTCCTTTCAAAATATTACTGCTCATTGACAAGGCACACAAGAGCTCTGGTGGAGATGTATAAGGAGGCTAAGGATTTTGTCCTTGCTAACACAACATTCATTTTCTCAGCCTATGGACCAAGAATTAATTTCAACTTTTGTCATATTATTTAAGAAATACATTTCATAAGGCTATAGCTGCCATAGATAGTGATTTCTTTTATGGATCTGGGCAAAGTAAATCGAAAGCCATCTGGAAAGAATTTACTATTTTAAATGCCAATAGGAACATTCATTATTCATGGTAGAAGGTCAAAATATCAACAGTAACAGGTGTTTAGAAGAAGTTGTTTTCAACCCCCATGGATAACTTTGGGAGGTTCAAGACTTCAGTGGGGGACGTAACTGCAGATGTGGTGGAAATAACAGGAGAACTAGCATTAGAAGTGGGGTCCAAAGATGTGACTGAATTGTTGCAATTTCATGATAAAACTGTAAGAGATGAGGAGTTGCTTCTCATGAATGAGCAAAGAAAGTGGTTTAATAAGATGGAATATGCTCCT